GTGGAAATGCCGAAAGCCTTGCGGGACTCGTCGTGAGTCCACTCCTCTTCACAGTAGGTGATCGGCACCTCCGGGTACTCCTGGACCCCCATTAATATGCCGTACGGCAGGGTCAGTAGACACGCGGACAGCCATATGGTTATGATTATAATAAAACATATTCTCATTTCCATTCGCGCCCTAAATGGGTATATAATCACAAAATATCTGTCGATTGCGATCGACATGAGAGTGAACGCCGATATGTAGACCGAAACGCCTGTAAAGTAATCGGAAATTAATTAGCTTCATGGTAGATGTCTATAGTTTTCGTTTTGTATGTCAATCCTTAATGAATATTCTGAATGTGTGTCAGTAATAAAATGTTTATTGTAATTTTAATTCATTATGAACTATAATTATGTAAATGGATACGGCGTTTGGACAGTGTTTCAGATTAAGTGTTTTAACAGTAAATGGTGTTAAAAGTAAGCGAAAGCCATAAAACACTGTACAAATATTGCAGCAAGCAAAGTGAAATCTGATACATTTTTTGCTATAAATAATTACCCCGTTTCTCAATAAATAAGTTATTTATAAGTTTAGTGACAAAGCGTTGGTTTAATACGATAGTCGGTATTCAATGGACTGGTAGACAATTATTTTTATTAATTCAGATCCGTAATGACCGGACATTTATATCTAGTTATGATTCAAACCCACACTTTCGTCATTAAAGGACACAAAAGAGATTTAAATGTAACGACTGTTATATGTTTTGCAGACAGAAATCGATACTTTTAATGATTAAATTTCGTGGCTTTGTGTGGAAATTATTTCTAATTTTATATCTTTCGCTAATAGGCTTTATAAATAAATGTATAAATCTGCAGGATCAGATAACCTTTTATCTATTATTAAACTATTATTTGTTATCTCAATTTTAGAGTATTAAACAAAATTATACGATATAATAATAATTTATAATACAATATAATAATTTTCTATTTTTAGTTTGACGTTTCTGTATGAGAATAATTACATGGAATATATTAAATAACATAGTTATCCAGAATATTTTAAATAGTTAACTGATTAAATAATTTGCATACCTTATAGTAGGTTTAGCCATATGAATTTTTAATAAGTCTGATAATATTAATATTATATAATAAATTGGTTAAAGCTAGATATAATATGTCGGTTTAATATCCAAAAGGTAGTGTATATAATATGGAGTGCATTCTTGTCATCATTAAAATAATGATCACAAAATAGACTGGAATTTGCTTCAATGAAATGCCGAAAATTTATCGTTACATTAAAAATCTCTGTTATTACCAGAATTCCTAAACTAAATAATTTCTTATCAGATTCATGATAATGTCAAATAATTTCGACAATTTGTGTCTAATATTTCAGTCGGCATTTGTATTTATAGACACGAATTAGATGTGAAGTTTGGCTATTAGATGTGTATTTTATTTTTGTCACTTTCATAGAAATATTGTATAATGTTTATGTAGTTAATGATTTTGACAGTTAATTCATTGCATTCACTCCAGAGATTAGATTATTTATAAGATATACTGATTATAATGACTGCGAGATATAATTTAGCGAAATAACTGTTTAGAAAATTTTTTGTTTGTATTGTATAAGTGCTGGTAATCAACAAAGTGTCCGACAAATCACTTGTCATTAAACATTACTATCCATTAAATATACCTAAAAACCAAACCGTATTGACTACTGGACTGTGATATCTATTACTATTAATTAGTCAACTATTGTGTCCACTCTCTAGCTATTTATTTATTTTATAAATTGAATATACAGTCCATATATCTTAGTGTTTGGCAGACAAATGCAAATAAGAAAAAGTTTAATCTATTGTCTCGCAAATGGAGACAAGAAACGTTATAAATGTTAACATAAATTATAATTTATTTGAGAGATATTTGAGAATAAAAGCGATTCCGAAGCAAAACATTAAATAATGTGAAGAAATCAGAAAATATAAATTATGTAAAATCAATTCCTGGAAACTTTTAACATACAAAATAAATAATAGTATATATTAATATTTCACAAATAATATAAAAACAAATTTGCAATTACTATAGATTTTGAATACTGAACATTATATCTCAAAACATACTTTACTTTCAAATCAATGTAAAAGTTTGGAGATTCTTATAACAAATTATTTATTCATTGCATTTGATGTACAGAATAGCCATTCTTACAGTGAATATAATTAGATAAATGGAAATGTATTTCTATTTTTTATCGTGAATTCTTAAGTATATAAACGAATCGCTTTCCACATAATGTATGCAAATATTGAATATTTCAAATGGTTTTCAATAGCGATTCGTTAATTCTGAGAAACTTTTTCCACATTTCTTATGCAAAATCGATACAAAACTTTTCTCATTCAATGGAAGTCTTAAACAAATTCGTGTAAAACTCAAAAGACAAACAGATTTCCAGAGTTTGGTCTTTATGTTTTATTAAAGTTTTTACAATTTCTTAACTCAATAAATATTTAAAAAGTATCGTTTGAATCGTAAATTTATTTTGCTTTTTATTTCTTTAAATTTAAATTGAATTGAGTTTTAGATTTTACTTATTTCTCTTTCTCTCTCTCTCTCTCTCTCTCTCTCTCTCAACCTAATATCCCCAGTAAAGTACTACAAAACTCCTATTTTATCTTCATAATAAAACATTTTGCAAAAAGTTTTGAAAATATTATTTTTAAATAAAATATTCAGAAAATTATACTGTAGAATTGAAATTATTATGGTATTTCATTTATTCAAAAATATTACTGAACTAATTAATTAATTTCAAATTCCTGTCAAAAATATTCTCGAGATCACTAAAAATTTAACAAAATATAAAATACTCTTTCATATAACATTTCGTATATTTTAAATATTAAAGAATATTACAGTAAATGATATATTTATCAATTATACTGTAGTTGCACAACATATTCATATAAAATCCCTTAACATTTATGTGTACATTTCACGCACAATATTATAATAAAAGTGTCGGAAATTTTTATTATCTTTATTTTATAAATCTATAAATAATTCATTTGTTTACTCAATATTAACGAAAAGTGGGTATTAATATTACATTTTTGTTAGAGTATTTAAATCAATACTAAACAGCAAACAGTTTCACTAATCAGGTATGCGATTATATTAAATAAACAATAAATTCATTTAAATATATATTTTCGTTAGCAAAAAAAATCTATTCAAATATCTCTAAATATAGTTCAGTAAAAGTATATATTAAATAAACAGAAAAAAATAATTCAAATAATTAAATGCTAAATAAATAGTAAAAAATAAAATTAATTGAGAATTGAGTTTCAAAAAGTATTCAAATCATTTTGTACATAAATAGCATAATTTAGGTGTCAAATAAAGCAATCAATGGACACATACCCTGAGCATAAGGAACCAAATGACAGAGAAATGTGCCGAAGACCCACTCCTTATATGTGAGCAGATATAAGGGGGTGAAGGGGACGGCAAACACGCAGAGGATAAAGAATATTACAGTAAATGATATATTTATCAATTATACTGTAGTTGCACAACATATTCATATAAAATCCCTTAACATTTATGTGTACATTTCACGCACAATATTATAATAAAAGTGTCGGAAATTTATATTTTTATAAATCTATAAATAATTCATTTGTTTACTCAATATTAACGAAAAGTGGGTATTACATTTTTGTTAGAGTATTTGAATCAATACTAAACAGCAAACAGTTTCACTAATCAGGTATGCGATTATATTAAATAAACAATAAATTCATTTAAACATATATTTTCGTTAGCAAAACAAATCTATTCAAACTTCATCCCTAAATATAGTTCAGTAAAAGTATATATTATATAAACAGAAAAAAATAATTCAAATAATTAAATGCTAAATAAATAGTAAAAAATAAAATTAATTGAGTAATTCTACCCACGATGTTTTCAACCACTTTCAAAAATTATTCAAATCATTTTGTACATAAATAGCATAATTTGGTATTATTTATTTAGCATAATAAAGCAATCAATGGACACATACCCTGAGCATAAGGAACCAAATGACAGAGAAATGTGCCGAAGACCCACTCCTTATATGTGAGCAGATATAAGGGGGTGAAGGGGACGGCAAACACGCAGAGGATAATAAAGCAATCAATGGACACATACCCTGAGCATAAGGAACCAAATGACAGAGAAATGTGCCGAAGACCCACTCCTTATATGTGAGCAGATATAAGGGGGTGAAGGGGACGGCAAACACGCAGAGGAATATGTCTGAGATGGCCAGGTTCGTGATGAACATGTTGGTGACGGTATGCATGGAGGAGTTCCTCATCACCACATAGCATACCAGTGCGTTGCCGGCGATGCCCAGGAAGAAGATCAATATATAGAGCCCGTAGAAGAAGACCTTAAGTGCTATGGTATCCATGTATTCAAAGAACGGCGACTGTAGTGTCGGCGCCTCGAGTGTCACATTCGTGCCGTTTAACAGCTTCTCCAGTATATCCATCGGTATACCCGGGTATTGTTCAGAGGAATTCCAGTTCAATAGGATTTGTCGGAGGACATGGATGTTATTACTGGGTGGACTCCCGGTGTGGTTGTAGTTCCCTATGATGTGGTGGTCCGTTGATGTGATCATTGAATTCATTTTAATGATTGCTATTTATATTTATTATTTTTATTTATCCCAAAGTCCTATGAATTAGAGATAAAAATTTGCAATTATTGGTAAATTATTAAATTTTACTGATAAAGTAACTTATATTAAATTTATGTAAACTAAATTAAAGTGTACCTTTCACTTCATTCCCAGTGAATATGTATTTAAAATATTTCTGATACTTATGAATGATTATGAAGGAAATGGTATTAAAATTAATTTAAATAACTTTTGGTACAAAATGAACACCAAATTCATGTTTACACGTTTGCAGTATTCAAACACAATATGACAGAAAAGTTATTTTCCAAATAAAATCTACAGGAAGTCTTAAAATCATAACTAATTTATTGGATCATTAAAATAATGAGAAGTTGTTTTCATTTCAATATTAATATCAAATTAATTGTTTAGTCTGAAGGCGCTAATAAAGTTTGAATTTTGTAGTTAATTATTATTTTCACTAAAAAATAGATAAATAAAAATCATTTCTGGAATAACAGGACTAACAAGATATCACATTAGATTATCTGATTTTAAATACCATATTTGTGTACATATTTTCAAAACATATTAAGCCAATGTTTTTAATAGTTTTATTGAAAACGTTGTAAATAATATAATAAACAATTTACAATTTTTAAAAACAAACTTTTGGACAATTAATATCATTAATAAATTTATTTCTGTATAATATTCTCATATTGAATTTATTTTAATAACTATATTCCATGTGGTAGCTTTTTAAACAGGGTATAAATATATAGAATAATTTATTATAATTTATAAGTGAATTGTAATGAGCAGTCAATGTATGTCCACTACTGTATAGTGACTATACTATAGTCAGTGTTTACTCTATTTATTT